GATATTTATATAATTACAACACAAATATTTTACCAAAAATTTTGTCACAAAAAAATAATATATAAATTTATCACAAAAGTTTAATAAAAAATATCATTATTTCAATACTAATCAATTTTGATTAAAATTAATCAAACTTGATTAAAATTAATCAAGCCTAATTAAAATTAATCAAGCCCAAACTAATCTTAAGTTTTATTGAGTTTCACATGTTTTATAATGCAAAAATTTATTTTCTTAAATATTTTTTGTTGATGTGGGATATATTTATAGTACAAAATCTTATTCTCTTATGTGTTTTTTATTGATGTGGGATGCATTGATTAGAGAAAATTGACAGTTTTTAGTGATGAAATATATTTTTTAGTGCTAAATTATTTGGTCATCATTGAATGTGTAAGGTATAGGTGACTAATATTAAAATTTTGTCATAATCGTAATGCATTATAGTGATGATTTTTATCGATAAAAGTTTATTTTATCTCTATGAATATTTTTCGGTACCGAAATATATTTTTTATGATGAATTTTTTTGTTTATCATTAAATAAGTATGCATCTATGACTAATTTTTTAGATCTGTCACAATTGTGATAAGTTATAGTGATGATTTCAAAATTCATCACAAATTTTTGTCACTAAAAATCATTTTTCTTGTAGTGAATGAACATAATTCTACTCTCACTACAAGAAAATTGAATTTTAGTGTCAAAAATTTATGATAAATTTTGAAATTATTACTATAATTTATCATAATTATGATAGATCTAAAAAATTAATCATAGATACATATATTTTTAATTATGAACAAAAAAATTCATCATAAAAAATATATTTCGTTACTGAAAAATATTTATAAATATAAAATAAGCTTTTGTCGATAAAAATCATCACTATAATGCATTATAATTATGACAAAATTTTAATATTGATCACATATACCTTACACATTCAATGATGACCAAATAATTTAGCACTAAAAAATATATTTCGTCACTAAAAATTGTCAATTTTCTCTAATCAATGCATCCCACATCAATAAAAAAACACATAAGAGAATAAAGTTTTGCACTATAAATATATCCCACATCGACAAAAAATATTTAAGAAAATAAATTTTTGCACTATAAAACATGTAAAACTCAATAAAACTTCAGATTAGTTTGGGCCTAATTAATTTTAATTGAACTTGATTAATTTTAATCGGATTTAATTAATTTTAATCAAAATTGATTAGTATTGAAATAATAATATTTTTTATTAAACTTTTGTGATAAATTTATATATTATTTTTTTGTGACAAAATTTTTGTTAAAATATTTGTGTTATAATTATATAA